TATTTGTTTGCAATATTATTATCTAAAAGAGATCTAAGGAGAAAAGATTATTCACTGGCTATGGGAAAGTGTAAACTAATAGTTTTAGAGACCTTGCTAAGCATTCTACATGACCAGGAAAAAAGTATCTCTTATAATATTTTTTATGGTTTTTTAAAATAAATGACGTAAAACATATTACCAATATGTGGTAATCGTAAAAAAAGTGTTTCTATGTTTAATTTGTCATTATATATATTTATGGTAATAACCATATATGCTCATTACATATGCATAGTTCCTACATTTTATTGCTACATATTGGTTTTGCTTTACTGCTCCTTTTCACAGTGCAATCTGTGGTTCTGAAGAAAATATTGTCACAATTATGTGCCTACAAACCTGGCCAAACAGTCAAAGCATACACTCACACTATTTACTAAATGCACACATGGAGATAAGTACATGCTGTATATGATAGCATTAACTAACAACTGTGGGTTGCTAAACAACTCCGGCTAATCATGACCCTTAATTGTGATTTCTCCCTGGTCTTGTGCATTTCTTTTTAGTTAAGCAGGCCATAAGAGTAGCCTGGCTCATTGAAAACAGTAATGTATCTTGGTGGTGCGGATATCATGTTAACATTTGTAAGATACAGAGAAGTTGCACTGAACCTCTCAGAGTTCCCTTCCCTATAGTGGTTAATCTACAAAATCTTTGTATTTAATTTAGAAACAAAAATATGAGAAAGCAAGCTTGCAAATACATGTCAGATCAAAAATTACTTTTGAATAAACTGCAACAATAATGCTGAAAATTAGCTTACTAAAATACAATGTACTTTTCCTGTAAACTTTCCTGACAAGTCTACATAAGCGAACTTGGCACTGTATTTTCCAGCCTCATGGAATTAAACAATAATAATTCATAATAAAGTTTCAAACTTGGGTGGTGATTTATAGTGGAATCTGAAAGCCTTCTTTATAATGAAGGGAAGCCCAAATATGGTCAATGATGTGTTTACATTACCACAGTGCCAGGTACCTGTCATTTAGTGATAAGAGAAACATCATCAGGCTAAACATGGTGGGTCGGTGTGATTGACGATGAGTGTACATTGCTGAATGTCGTGACTGATGATGGATTTACATTGAGGGATGTTTTTACCTGTTTTAAAATGTATTTTTATTGTAACGTCATTAACCCTGTCACTGCCAGGCCCTGAGCTCCATTTTAACCTTAGGTGGCCAGACCATTTTTGCTTTACTGTTACTTGTGTTACTTTTTTTTTATCGTTTTTCACTTACATCTTTCCGAGGTTGTAAAATACCTCCCAGACTATATATTTTCTGAAAGCATATGTCCAACTGAATAAAAATTGGGAGATAGGAGGACACAGGGAGATCAGAGGACACATGGAGGTGTGGGAGACCAGCAGGGATTGGAGCAGACACAGCTATACACACTGTGGGCACTCAGTGGCAGGATCAGTGCAGGCAAGTATGAAGGCAGTGGGGGGAAGGAGGTCACTTTTTTAATTAAAAAACTGATGACAGCTATTCTTTAACTCGGCAGAGCCTGGAGAACACATCTACTATAAGTTAATTTTTTGCTGAAGTGACCATGGTGGCCAACTGGAAGTGGTTCTGTTCCACCATTACCACGGCTGTGGCAATGAAAGGTTTAGAAGAGTTTTTCTTTTTAAAGGTATAAGAATGTTTAACTCGAACTCTTTGTGGGCATGGGTAAGGGGTACAACATACCCCTGTACTCCTGCTGAGAGGGAGCTGAGAGCAATATAAATAGGGCTTCCAGATTCCTTTATAAGCCCCCACAAACTCCCACATCCTTGGTAGACCAGATGAGGAGAAAGGGTCCTTGTCACTCAACACTAGGACAAGAGTGCCTTGCAAGTTGGGGGAGGCTTAGTCACCCCCCTTGCAAAGTACCCCCAATGTTGAAACCCCATCGCCCATGCAGCCTGGGGGCCAGAAAAGAAAGGGCAGCAAGCATGCACCTCCCCTTCCTGAACCAGACCAAGCCGCATACCTTTAAACAATTGGGGGGGGGGGG